ACGATGGGCCCATGATGAGATGAGGAGAAGCAGTAAGTAGACCATGCTGGCATATTCTACCAATGAACTGCTGAAAACATCAGCAGCCAGCCACACTCGCAAAAAGGAAAGTAGACTAGGGTGTCTAAGGTCTTGGGTAGGAGGGAAGAAAGCATGAGGGTATCCATTAAAGAGAACAGAAAAATGGGCCGGGACAGGAAACCGTGGATCCACTCCCTCCATTTGGGGCCAAAGCCCATCAGGAGCAATATAGCATTAAAAATCCCCCAGTCTACATGGTCATAAGATTTTTCAAGGTCAAGGTTACTGATCAACCCCAGGGTTTCTGAGAGGTGCCGTCTAGCAATGCACTCTTTAGCTATAAGTGCACCACCCAAAATTTGCCCATTGGCGACAAAAGCACTTTGTTTTGGGGAAATGTCTTAGTCTTGAGGCAAGAACCTTGGCAAGGATCTTATAAGTACTGCTCAAAAGGCTAATCGGTCAGAACTCCTTAATTTCCTCGGCCCAATCTACTTTCCAAATGAGTGTGATGAATGTGAAACCAGTGGAATCCATGATTTTGTTCATCACACCCATTCATGGTTACCAGGTTATGACATTGGGGCCAAGGACATCCCATAACTTGCTGAATAGGATAACAGGGAAGGCATCAGGCTTAGGGGCCTAATCCTGACTCATTTCAGCAGTGGCTTTGAGGATTTCCTTTCTTAAAGTGGTCTTTCAAGCCATCAGGCAATATCTAAAGACATACATTGGAAGGTGACATTTTAAATCCTTGGTCTAGGGGCACTTTCAGCAGTGAAAAGCCTTTAGAAGTAGGAGACCCTTACCCTGGCAATGTCCTCTTGTTCTTCGTAGATTAAACCGTTATCCTTATTGTGAAGGATAGAGTTGTCCCGCCTTCGGCAACTTGGTGTTAGGTGAAAAAAGGAGGTTTTCTGGTCCCCTCCCAGTGCCATTTAATCCCAGAATGTTGATGCAAAAAGATATCCTCTTGTTTCAGAATACTCTGAAACTCAGCATGTGCCAAAATTCCAGCCACAAACTCATAGGGACAAAGGTCCATGTACTCCAACAAGTCTAACTCCTCTATCTTAACCAAATAATTCTGCTTTTTCTGTTCAAAGAGATCTGAACACACCCCTATTCCAGGCCCGCAGTTTTTGCTTGAGGATCTCAAGCTGCTTACAAATTCTTAAACACCCACCTTGGAATTTGAACAAGGAACACTACAAGGGAATGACGGAGTGAGTGTTTCTGTCTTCCACCCACATACATCCAAATCTGAATGGCCTAGGGATGAAAACTGGGATGACCTGACATCCTCGATAGTTGTGGATGTAGCAGCTCACAGAGGTCCATTAAACAGGGTCACTCAAACCCCATATATTCCATGCTAAAGATATTCATCAGGGATCAGCTCCAATCCAGAATGCTAAGGTGTTGAGCAGACCACCTCGGGGCCTTGTCTACTAAAGAAGTTAGCGCAGATGGCACAGAAGACAAGGACCCTCCTTGGATCCCGTGTTCATTGAAATCCCGAACTAAATTCTTAAAGACTTCTCGTTAACCCAAGTTCCGTGACTCACCCAAGTCGAGTTGGACTCCAGCAAGTTACTAGGACTATGGGCAAGTCTGAGAAGGCTGTACACCTACATTATGTTGTATAAATAATGTAATGTTCAATTTAATTCTAATAACTTCTTGATATCTTTGTGGCTAGTGTCAACAGTGTATAAGCCTTATTTCTGAGGTCCGAACCCCCTTAAAACCACCATATAGACGAATTGATATATTTTATTTATATTTTAAGCTGTTTAAGAAAAAAAATTCTTTGTGGGATTCGATCCCAAAACGTTTCCTAAAGGGCCCAAGACATCTAACTCGACGGGGATACCCGACAGGGGTCCAGGTATGGGTCCAACATCTGGACCCTCGGGTAGGGTCTGGGTACTACAAGGTGTAACGAAAATTTTTGGGTACGGGTACGGATATTGGTGGACCCGCCCCTGACCCGTTAGTTTTAAGTTTTTTTTTTAGGTTATAGTTTTACCCAAACCCCTCTCCCTCATAGTTTTACCCAAACCCGTCTCCTCTTTCTCTCTCTCTCTATCTCTCTCTGTGTTCTAACAGAGTGGTGCAGCACCGAATCAGAATGCCCGAGAAAGAAGAGAAGATAGATACTCTAGAGAGAGAGAGAGGGTAGTGAGAGGAGGAATATAATATTAGAGACAAGAAGAGAGAACGGGTAGTGAGAAAAAGAGTAAAAACTATTAGAGAGAGAAAAAGGGGTTTTGTGAGTAAAATTCCTTTTTTCTCTTACCCCTCATTTCTTTTCAATGAACAAATAGATTGAGGTTTAACTTATCTTAGGTTTTCAGTCACGTGGAGTCCCAAAATTCCAACCTTGATCGCTGCAGCCCCTCCCCCTGAAAACCCTAATCCCATGTCATCGGCTTACCACCACGATTAGAACCAGCTGAGCTTTCATCTTCTTTTCCATCATATTGCGATCTTCTCTTTTTGTTTTCCCTTTTTTGATACCCTTTGTCACTGTATGCATCGATGGCTTGTTGAGGTCAGGGTTGAAACTTCTATCGTCGCTGAACCTTCTCTTCTAGGGTTTATCTCAATTTATGTGGAAGCATTTGAGTTTCAGGAACTGCTCTGTGAATGTTAGTGAAGGTTTAGGTTTTAACCATGCTTCACTGCGTGCTTGTTAGGGTTTGTGCTTTTATGTGGAGGAACTAACTTTTTTAAGTTTTTTTTTGGTGTTTGTCTTGTGAACTAACAAGAGAAGATGATGAGAACTCGGGTACGGGTCCGGGTCCCGCGTCCAAAGGATTCCCTCAAGTACGGGTACAAGTACTCGAATTTTCAACCCGTCAAGTCCAGGTCCGGGTCCTGGTATACATGTCCTATTTTGGGTCCGGGTATGGGTCCAGGGACCCATTGCCAGCCCTACTAACCACGGCACAATTTAAACTTTTTTGTCAAATGAAAAACATGTTTTATATATATATATATATATATATATAACATCCTTTTTTGTTTTTCTTTTTATTCTTTTGGGAACAGGCTGGACTCGAGCGAGTTACTCGAACTCGCCCTAATAACTCGCCTCGGCCACTGGGTAAAACCTTGGCCGAATCGTGTCCCAATACCTTGCTTCAACCTTTCCCGATCCCCTTCACACCCTTCTTTTGAGTAAAGTTCTCATGTAGTTGCATTGTCTTTGAAGGCATTGGTGATGCCCCCAACGGCTCCTTCATAGATGAGACCCAGGGCACCAGCATCTCTTCAATGTTTTAGGCAGCTCCAGAGACCCCCTTGATTTCTCCTATATTAGCTTTGGAAGACTAGGATCAGTCAGATTCTTCAGAGGAGGGGACGTCAAGGAGATGGTCCCAGAAGAAACCCATAGGCCGGAGAGACGTGTGGGAACCACGGAGATATGTCGATGGGAGATATTCCTAGTTTGACTTAACGAGGAGAAATTGACTGAAGGATCAGCAACTTGTAAGGGGTTGGTGAGGGGGAAGAGGGTTGAGGAACCTTCTATTTGCCCCAGGAAGGGGAAGGAATACTCAACGGAAGTGGAAGTAGGGGGAAGTGGGGTAGAGGCCCAGGAATACCTCAAATCTCAGGAGGAGGAGGTGCGAGATGGGACAGAGGAACAAGATAGTAAGACGAAAGGGCAGAGGGAGAGAATTTGTAGTAGACGAAAGGTCCAAGAGAGGACAAGAGAAGGGGCCAGAAGGGCCAGAGGGAGCGAGGGTGAAAGATAACTAAGGCAGAGAGGGAGAAGGTGAAGACACTAATCTTTTTGTGCCCAAGTTATCTAAAAAAGTTCTTCCTTTCACAAGTCACCCACATCCAGAGTACATATTGCTTAAAGAAGTTGAGATATTGGGGTTAGGGTCGAACCATGTTTTACCATACAGGCATGGACTTGTTTTCCCCAATCAGGAGTGGGGAGATCACCACAGACAACTCAACACATGAGATTAAGTATATAAATTGGCCAATGTACATTCACTTCACATCCTAACTAAGAATTGTATCGCCTCTTTACAACAACCCGTTTGAGCACAAAAAGTAATAATTATGTTCCAATATATGACATTTCTTTCCATTATGCCACAAATATTTTTAGCAATTCCTGGAAAGAACCACACCTCTATGGCTGCATTAACCACAAAAACCCATTAGTTTAAAACCCAAAGCAACAGGCACACAACATAGAGTAAACACACTGGGTTTTAAACTGGAAAGAGGCAATTTTTCGCAGCAATCAACGGCTACCTCACCTTGCCCTTATTGTGCATACCCAGCAATATGAATGGTCCATGATGCTAAGCTAGGTCCACGGATTTCCGAGAAAGCACAATTGGCCTTCCCAATTCCTCACATTTTACATCCACATTGATAAACCCACTGGCCTCAAAACTATCCAAAAGAATCCTACATTTGACAAAAGAGATATGGATTTGTTGGCCAAGATTAAGCTCCTCTAGGCCAGCACACGAGCCAAAATTACTTGCTCATGTAAACTGGATCACCTTTAAACCACTGTCTTGAGACTTATTAAAAAATAATAATAATAATTGGATCGTCCATGGGTTCTCCACACTGGTAGAAACCAGCAATTATAGAAGTCCAAAAAATAACGTTGGGTCAGGGAATTTAAATGAATAATTAGCTGGCACAATCAACCAAACCACATTTAGCACACAAATTTATCAAGAATTGCCAAGAAGTATTAAATCAATGATCAGATCTCAAAATCGTCAAACATGTTTCTTTCCCATAATTTATAGCTTCTAGTTGATCGTCTTTCCCATAATTTAAAGCTTCCTGCTGATCACAGGTAGAGAGATAAGGCCTAAATATGTGAAATAATTTGGATAAAATCATAGGAAAACCGTAGTTCAGAAAAGCCGGAGGGCTTTGCCTAGAAGTCCATATTGTGAATATCCAGAAGTAAGGTCTGTCCATGAGATTAAACTCCTTTCTATGCATTTCATCAAAGACGTTATGTACATAATTTGAGCATCCACATCTCACATAAATATTCATGATGGTTCTTCAGATAAAAACATTTGCAGAGAAGAAAGATGTGATGAGATTGGCATGGAGCCTTTTGCCCTTGGAGAAAGGTAAAATGAAAATGGAGCATAGTTTTTTAAAGTACAATTTCCATGCTATCTATAGTTCCTCCCATGAACCCCAAAAAAAATCTTAGATCCTATTTATTATATTTGGATAATTGCAGGCAAGGAGAATAACCCTAATTATTCAGCAAAAAAGAAACTCACTCGCTCACACAATGAACAGTCTCTCAATTTGCCCACCTGTTCACAGAATCGTGCACACATTAGGAGGCTCGGGGGTCGGTCCCATGCTGCCAAACGTAGACTGCCTGGTCCCAACTAGTGCTGGCCAACAGCCCCTCGACGAGCACGCTCATGTCCACGCCCAACGCAAATTCCGTGTGGTGGTCGTACCTCGCCACCAGTGCGTCCTCCGCCCTGTACTCCCATGCACACACCGTCATGTCATACGAGCAGGAAGCAATCATCCCCTCACTGTGGGGCGAGAACTTCACCCTCCGCACCGCATATCTGTGCCCCATCAGAACCGCAATTGGTGCCCGATAACTCCTCACATCCCACACCTTTATGGAATTGTCCACCGCCCCTGATGCAATCACACAGTCGTTGTACTTATTCCAATCGCAAGTCAAAATCTCACCCTCATGCGCCGGTATGATCATCGTCGAGTTCGGCTCGCGCACATCCCAAACTCGCATCGTGCAGTCCCCCGACGCCGATGCGAAGACATCAGGGTGGCGGGGGTTCCACGCCGCACTGTACACGCAGTAAGAGTGCTCGCGGAAAGTGCGGATGCTTTGCATCCTGCCCTCAGCCCAGAGCTTGAGGGTGTCATCCCATGAGGCCGACAGAAAGGAGTCCTTGCGGGTGGGGTTCCAGTCGATCGAGTGGGCCTCGCGGGTGTGCTCGTGGAGGTTGACGAGAAGAGAGGAGGAGGCGACATCCCAGAGCTTGATGGAGCCATCGCCAGTGGCAGAAGCAAGGAGGTTCTCGTTGGACTCGGACCAGGCGCAGTCGTAGGCGCTGTCAGAGGTGTCAAAGCCGACCGGGGAAACCATGCCTCCGGGGGTGAGGTCCAGGACGAGCTGCCGCCCATTGCCAATGATGCCAAAGTTCTGGGCGGTGGCGACGGCCAGGCGGGTCTCAATGAAGGGGCTGAACTTCACCGAGTAACCATGGAATGGAAACTTGAACACCGGCATAATTGAGAAACCCTAAGCGATGCTTCTCTCTCTAAAACCTGAATTCCTCTCTCTACCTACTTTGCGCCCAGCATCAGTGACGAGAGAAAATGGAATTGGGAAGTTTGGTCCAATCGAGAGAGAGAAAGAGACGATTTTTGCGGTAGTTAATGACTGATGAGAGATAAATATTACACAGGCCTTTGTTCAAGAACCAATGCTCTCCATGATTGCACATCCTCAATGCATGCGGGAGAGAGAGCGGACAAACTATTGCCAAAAGATATTTCTACTCCTTACGGACTATACCGTCTAAATCAATGGTTTAAAAAACGGATCGGTGATCCCGATCGGGCTTCCAAAAAATAAATCCGGATCGGAGAATCGGCGATCCGGATCGAGAATCGAGTGAATCGGTCAGAATAAAGCTTAAAAAAAATTCGAAAAAATTATTAAAATTCATTATAAATATTGGTTTTTAGGAATTCAATAAAAAATGAGGGTACTCCATTAAGAATTTTCATGTTTTTGAATGAATATGCGAATATTGATATGTTCTTTCCCTGTATGAACTGCCATTCAGCATTTAATTTACAGTATTTCGTGCTCATCCCTACATTGTTGCTGTTGGGACTCGATATGTGAATAATATGGCTGGGATAGGGTGGCTTCAGAATCATCATCTCTCTCGTTTTCTCTTTGAATAATATGGAATTAAAAAAAAAAAAACAAATTTTCAAAAAAATCGATCATGGATTAAAAAAAAAATCACAAATTTTCAAAAAATTCTATCATGGATTACAAAAAAAAATTCGATCATGGATTAAACAAAAAAAATCACAAATTTTCAAAAAATTCAATCATAGATTACATAAAATTCGATCATGGATTACATAAAATTCGATCATGGATTACACAAAAAAACAAACAAAAAAAACAAAAAATTCAATCGTGGATTACAAAAAAAGAAAAAAATAGTTCGATCATGGATTACAAAAAATTCAATCATGGATTACAAAAAACTCTATCATGGGTTATAAAAAAAGCAAACAACAAAAAATTCAATCATGGATTAAAAAAAAACAAACAAACATTTTGATCATGGATTACAAAAAAAAACAAACATTTCGATCATGTATTACAAAACATTCGATCATGGATTACAAAAAATTCAATCATAGGTTACAAAAAAAAAAAAAAACAAAAAAATCGATCATGGATTACAAGAAAAGAAAACAAACATTTCGATCATGGATTACAAAAAATTCTATTATGGGTTACAAAAAACCAAAAAATTCTATCACGGATTACAAAAAAACAAAAACAATTCGATCATGGATTACAAAAAAATCGATCAAGTATTACAAAAAAATCTATCATGGATTCCAAAAAAAAAAAAAAAATCCGTACGGAATCGCCGATTCACTGTTTGGACTCGCCGATTTCGTACAGTGAATCGGCGATTCACTGTACAGAATCGTCCGGTTCTCTCTAGAACCGGACAATTTCCGATTTTTGGACGATCCGGTTCCTTTCTCACTATTTCCGAGTCGAACCGGGCGAGTCCGGTTCGACTCGGCGCTTTTTAAAACGCTGGTCTAAATAAAAATAAATGCTCGTGTTTTATTTTTTCACTTTTATTTCCAAATCCCATATATACAGTGCCCAAGAGTTTTTATATTGGGTGTGGTTTGTATAAGGCTTGGTTCATCTTTATTAAAAGATATTATTGAAGTACTAAAAATATTCGTGATGGCCTAAAATTTTATTGAGAAATGATCTTACAGGACCTCTCCCATTTGTGTGGGTAGGATCCCCAAAAGATCATTATTAAAATTGATACGGATCTCTAGAAAAATCAAATCCCACACCCATGCGATAACTTTTTTAGAGATTTGTACCTGTACCAACTTTAACGGTGATCCTTTGAAGTCTTACACACATGGGTAAAAAAGAATCTTATAGGATCATTACTCAATTTTATTTTCATCTCTAATTATAAAATTTAAAGCTTCAAAATAATATAGATCAGCATATCCATGAACACTTAAAAATTGACACTTCAAAAAGCATAATGCACTATTTTTAATATTTGAAATCTATTTTTTCTCATTTCTATACATCTTGAGGTCGAGATGATCGATTTGAAGAATTTTTGACATCAAAACAACCTCTTCTAGTGAATTTTTGGCGTGCGTCTTAATTTGATTGTTTACGCTCTCACCCTTTTATACACTCTCCTATTTTGTGAAAAAAACTTACTCCTAAACATGTCTACTTTGTCTATTTTTTGATAAAAGATTGTTTCAAATAAAAAAGAGGTTGTTTACAAGCGACCATTTACTTTTTGCATATGGAGGTCATAATCATTTTTACTCATCAGATGTCAAATTTGACAGTTTGAGATGAGTCTCAAAATTTGAAAATATTTACTTTTAATGCAAGGAGATCACAAATCATCATTGACCATTAAATTTAAAATAAAGTTGTTGAAGATGTATCATTGTTTAGGCACAAAATTCAAAATATATTTTCTCAAATGTTATGGCACTTTTATATATTGGATTTCACATCTAATGGTTAAAAGTGGTTGTAACTTCCTTATACCAAAAACAAATGGACCAAAAGTATATTATCCCTAATAAAATTAAGTGAAAGTATATAATGCAATCATTTACGTTTGGTACAAGGTGGTCACGATTAATATTTGACCATTTGATGTGAAATCGGATTATTATATTTATTTTATTGACCAAAAATTCAAAAAAAAATTTATTGAACTTTGTAATACACTCAAGCTATTAGATTTCACATTGGATGGTTATAAGTAATTGTCTCATTATATACAATGGAATAAATGTATAATGATCTCCAAACTCAAAAAAATGATCGCCATATGTGTATATTTAGAGAACACGCTGCTCAAAAGTTACAGTCACAAACACCAACGCCTTTGATGTTTCTAGCTCCTAATTTTATGATCCAAATTTCTAAGATCAAACTAATGTAGAGTGATCAACAAAATCATCATGAAATCGTGTAGAAATTTCAACAAATAAAATGCTTAAATTTTATGATTAATAACAGTAAATTATATTCCTGGTTTCACGCTGATACAAAGAAACAGTTGCGTGTAGTCTTATTTATGTACAGATAAATCAATGATCATCTCAAGAATTTTCACAGTATCTCTAAAAACATAAATCGAAGTATCCTTGATCATATATAGATTTATTGTGATGAATTTCATGAATCACAAGAAAAACCTATTTCCTATCGTGCTTGATTTGAAACGGCAACAGGAATCTGTCATTGACCGGGCTTTCCAACCCTCTGTACGAAGTTGAGCAACCAGAAGAAACCCAAATAGACTCTTTTTTTTATCAGACTTATTATCGGGAGAAATTAACTAACTATATTATAAATTTGAGGTGCCGACATGCACCACACAAGAATCGAAAGAACAGTGATAGATCAAGAACCTATGCCTTTCCACCATCAAGCCGCGTTAACTCGCAGCAGCTAGACATATTTTATTTTGGAAAAAGTCTATATAAGGTTGCAACTAATAGTAAGGCGCACTTTTAAAATCCACAGTGGAGAGTGTTCCGACATAGGACAATCCTCCAACTGATCATCTTGACCTTGAGATGAATTGACATGAAGAAAAAAAAGAATTTTAAATCCAAAAAATAACGCATCTTAAAACAAGTTATCTAGACCATCCATTTTTAAAATTTTCAAGTATTTTTTAATCTGTTAAATCTGTACCATTTTTTAAATTTTAAATTTTATAAATAAAGATAAAAATATATTTTGAAACCAATTCTCAACGCTAAAAAAACATCTCCAAGTAAATGTTATAGGTGCGCCTTTACTTGATATAAGGAGGCAACCTTATACAAACCTCACCCTTTTTTTTTTCCTAGTAACTAGTAACGAATGGTCTTCTTATTATACTCAATATTTTTATTTTCATGCTTATTTTGTTAAAAACATATCTAGTGATCATGTATAATCTCAATGTTTACCAAACTTAAAAATCAAAAGGATTGAAGATTTCAAGAGAAACATGATATTATCATTCTTTTTGGGTTCTAATTAACGATGTTTAGAGAGTCTTTTATTTATTTTAGACTGTCAAGGACAATCAAGTACTAATTTGCGGTGATTTTGTCACATTAAGTACTCATGATAAATTTATCATCCAAAAATTATTCAGTTAAAAAAGAGGAAAAACAAGAAATTTATGCGGTATAAAAACATAAGTGCATTTGTACATTGTTTCGCTTTATGTTTCTCACTTCTAAGAAAGGTAACTACGATCAATGAATTTTTTTTTAAAATAAAAAAAATAACAATATAATGGGAATAGTGCATGAAATTTATCCTAAAAAAATGAGGGTATTTATGTAAGTATACTATAAATTTCTTTAACATGTTTCTTTCAAATGTAGCCAAAGTGTATCAATGTATATCCCATGTTGCATGCAGTTGCTATCCTATCAATAAAAAAAATCATTCTCAATAAATGTATTTTTTACAAAAAAAAAAAAATTAAGATATATATATATATATGGAAAAGTCTTCCCAACACCTATAAACGAAAATGAACAATGATTTCGCCTACCTTCATTACTATCCAAAGTTCATCACACAATCACGAATGTTTGGTAGTGTTATATTTTTCATTTTTTTTTCAACAAATTGGAATAATCTGAAATTTAGAGCATGTATACATCTTAGTGAAGCGTACTATATATATATATATATATATATATATATATATGTATA